AGTAAAACATTCACAACTTTACCCAAATGTTTTCTTATAATACACTCTTATAATACACTTCTTATAATTGGCTATATTATCACTATATATTAGCAAAAAAGTAACAACTTACCTCAAATCAGGTTTCAGTCTTCTGCAACATAAAAGTAAAAAAAAAATGTTTATAAAACATGAAAGCAATCACATATATACTTTACATAGACATAAATATTACATAGACATAAACATGTCATGAGAAGCAATACTTTGGTAACAAATCGGTAACATTTAAAATCCTGACAGTACTGTACAGTACCATAGGTACCAATAATATCAAATATTTATGCATTATAGCAAGTAGATTAAACCGAAACAGATCAGAACAAATCAGTCATTTTAAAACTTTCTGTGAAACATTTCCCAAAGAACGTGAGCGATCCAGCAGTACCATGTCCTCCGTCCCTCCCTCTCTCTCGCTCTCTCCCTCCCTCCCTCTCTCTCTCCCCCTCCCTCGCTCTCTCTCTAAAATTGAAATCTGTACATGATTAAATTAAATATACATTGATTTTTATTTCAACTAAAGTTACTTTGCCAAGAACAGCAACTTTTTTTACTTTGTCTTAATGATACAAACTACAGCAGGAAAATTAAGGAACTGTCACTTTAAAACCTCATGCACACATTTAATTCAGAATCACCATCATTAAAATAACGTAACTCATTTTAACACCAAGCATGTACCAAACAAACTATATATTACAGTATACCATTGTTTGAATTTGAACACTTACAGTTATAATTCTGCTTATCAATTAAAATTCGTATTGATTCCAAAAAAGAAAGAAAGAAAAAATAGTGAAATATAATTCACATTTTGTCTAATTGCAACACATTTGATTGAAACTAAATATCAGGGGGGAAAAAAAGCACTTACACTAGGAACTTTAGCCTGTAGTTTAAAAATACCAAAGAAAAAAACAACTAGTCTAACTTAATACACAATAAAAGCATTAATAAAGACAATTAACACTCTGTAATTAAAAAAAAAGATATAATTATAGATATAATTAAAAGTTGGAAATCAGTTTGAAAACAGTTTTTAAAGGGATACTCCACTTTTTTGGAAATTCTGGGGAGTGGTAAAATAAGCATATTTCCAAAAAAGTATCCCTTTAAAGGAACACTCCGACTTTTTGGGACTTTAGCCTATTCACCATATCCCCCAGAGTTAGATAAGTCCATACATACCTTTTTCATCTCCGTGCGTGCTATAAGTCTGTTTGACGCACCCACCGCTAGCCTAGCTTAGCACAAAGACTGGATGTGAATGGTTGCATCTTTCATACTAATCCAAATGAGTGACAAAATAACACAAACGTTTTCCTATTTACATGTTGTGATTTGTATAGTCACAGAGTGTACAAATAACAAAGTCAAATGAGACACAGACATCTTTTAACCGTATAAAACCTGGGAACTATTCTCTGAACGCGAAGCACTGCTACTTTGACGGAGTAATAACCGCATCACCTGAGACACGCCGTGGTGAGGAGCGGAGAGTTCGGGTAACAGAGTCAGCAATTTATAAATAGTAAAAGCGTAGTTTACAGTCATGGGTTTTTCGCTCTTTGTAATATAGCTGCGACAGTAAAAGGGGAGGTAATAACCATGTTTCACAGAATTCCAACTAAAAACGCTGACTGGATGAAGAAATGGCTAACTTACTTACTCTGGATATTGATCCAAACACACCTAAAGAGATTATCAAGGGACATTATGTT